ATTCCGGCTATCATTATTTTGGCTGTCATTAAAATTTGTCCCAGTAAGGGACAAAATCACCAAACTTTATGCTGCAGCCTTGGATTGAATCCTGCACGGGAGCTATTACAGCACAGAATGGCAACTCGGAAGTCAGTAGGAGTTTCTCCTGTCTGAGGGAGAATTTTGCTGAGAGTCTTGTACTATTCCAGGCTTGGTGTTGGGCTCGTTCTTAATCACGGAGGAGGGTTCTGGTAGATGTCAAGTGAAGAGAAGAATAGAGCACGCATCCTTCACCACTCAAGCCAGACAATGAAATTAGAAAATGGCACTGAGTTGCTGTGAGAGAATTCCCCTGGATTCCTAGAGGAAGAATAAAACAAGAATGTATTGATTAAAAAAAAAAAAAAAAAAAAGAAAAAAAAAAAAAAAGAAAGCAGAAAGGAAGGGGGGGGAAGAAAATAAATTGGAAAAACCTTGCCAGAATCCTCCTCCGAACCTATCTGAGAGTAAAGTCCGACATTCAAAGCTGCATTGTCTTTCACATGAAGGCGTGTGGTGCCGGCTCTTTCCTCCCAGTTCCTGGTTCTGCGTTTTTCAGATCTCTCACCGAGCATTTTGCATGCGTGTGATGTTTGCAGCGCTGCGCGCTCTCATTTGAAGACTGTTTTGAGAAGTCATTATTGAACTATAGGATAAAAAGTATAAGCATAATTACGCATTAAAGAGAATAAATACGTTCTGCTAGATAGTTAACCAGGTGAGGTTAAACAAGATGAGATGAATTCTGGTCTTTTTAGAAAACTGACAGTCTTCATTTTAAGCTACAATGTAAAGTGCTTTATCCTGAGATTAGGTATTGTGGCAGAAGCTAAAACTGCCTTTTTCCCCTAACCGTGCCAGAATACAACCTCCTTTTCTTTCTGCGCTAACAAGACTGCTTTACCACCACAGCCCACTCTAAGTAATTAAATCAATCCTTTGTACTTACCGTATTCTCCTCTAGTGACGGTACTAGATCTGATTATATGCTTCATGCATATTCAAAGTACGGCACTGACAGCTCTTTAATGAGCTCTTACTTAATCAGTGCGAACAATGTTCATCTTGTTCTTTTTTTCCTCATACATTAGAGCTAGGAACAGTTGGGGAAAAAATGAAACATCCAGCATTCATTTGAAAAATATATTGTACTTTGAAAAGTGTCTAAGCTGGGGAAGTTGCATTCTGCCCTTTAAAAGTCTGATGGACAAATTGGATTACTAGTATTGGATTAAATAACAAATGGTTAGAGGAGAAATGAGAAAAGCTCGCTGTGATCACAGGCTTTAATATTTTTTGTTACTTATAAAGCTGAAGGGGTCTTTAACCAGTTATTAAAGTCAGGATTAATTTGTAATGGTCCAACTTACTAGCTTTAAAAGGGTTTTGTTGTTGTTGTTGTTGTTTTTTATCGAAAACAATAGTGTAATGCATGTATTATGGAAAAAAATTTAAGTTTAAGATCTCTGGGCTGTTAATGGATTTTCATAGTCTTATACTGGTTCAGATAAGGGGTTTGCATGCATGGGACTGATTTGTTCCCAAACATGTTTTTCACTTCATTTAAATAATCAGTACATTTTTTTTTTTTTTCCCCTAAGAACAACACAGATATTTTCCCAGTTTTAATTTTCAAGCGTTCATAGCAAGTCAGTTAAATACTTGTTTTCTACTTGGACAGTGGAAACAAAAACAACCCCAGCAGCAGCAGGGTTTTACAGAGCGCAACTGTGTTGAAGAAAGGCTTTTTTTTCTAAATTTTCTATTTATAAATAGTAAATGTGAGTTTAGCTTGCAATTTCACTGCAGTAACAACACTCATTTTTCCTTTGTTGAAAGTGTTTCATGTGCATCCTTCCACCAAGGGGGAAGAAAAAAAAAAAGTGATAATGCCACTGTATTTGCTGAGAAGAGTTATTTAAATTTCTTATATATGGGAGTTCATCTTTATTTTGCTTGCCAGGGAAGAATCTGTTTCAGCTCCATGCGCAAGAATTTAAAAGGCTCACGGTCAACAAATAAAATATCAGCATCGACTGCTATTAATATTGCACACATGTGTCATTTCACTGATCAAAAAGGCCTTCACCAGGGTACAATTGGCCTTTTTCCAAGTTGCAAGCTTTTTCTCAGCTTTTTCTTTTTTACTCTTTCTTCTTTTGTTGCTGCTCAGGGATTTGTGCCTATCGCAGCCGATATCACATGACTGGTGTCAGGGCATCACATGGGTCCAAAGTGAATACAAAAACAGATTAAAAATTCTGTAAAAACAATCAGGACTTTGTTAACTCACTTTTAAACCAACCTATTCTCTGGATATTGCATATGCTTTGGTGTCAGCGTGGAAATAGCAAAATGGGCACCTGCTCAGGTCTGACTTGACAGCTCCAAGCTTTGCCAATATCTTTTCTCATTATAAGGTACAACTAACTTTATTTAGGAGGTGTGTATTAATAGAAAGAAGTTTATATCTCTAAGTTTACATTCTTACACTGAGATTGCATGGCATGAAATTCAAGTTCAGGTCTGCCATTGACTCAAACTCCTCTGAAACATTTGTCTCCTATTTCTTTTTCAAGGCTTGAAAAATGAAATGCAGCAAGAGCTTGCATTTATAATGACATCTTTTAGACAGAGATCCCAGACCACCCCAAACCCAACAAGTTTAGTGTCATAAATTGATTAAAATGTTACTTATAACCACATATCTCAGGTGGTGATAATTTTTTTTCACTGGCAGTGTGGCAATCTCATGCATTACAGAACAGACCAGTCATTTTGCAAGGACAAAAAAAGGTCCTCTTTCCCCTTCTTCTTTCTCCCTCCCCCAAATAAATTTCAGCTACTCGGTGCATTTCAATGAAAGGTTGCAAATATTGATTATCATCTGCTTCTAAAAGTAGACCTTGTTAGATAGACCAATACAGCAACACCTTTGATCTGCAACTTAACAGCAAAGTGTACTGAGTTTTAATCCTCTTCGAGGCAGTGCTGAACTGGTGAATGTTACTGTAAATGCCACAGCAAAATATTTTCTGCACAAAACCAGAAGTTGAAGGTCTTGTGGGAGAACATTTCTACGTGACAAATTTCTTCCTTCATCATTCCATCATCTAGGAGTTGGACCCTGCTTCTTCTGCCTGGAAAAAGGCTACAGGGCCATCTCCACTTTAAGGTGTTCTGCCTTTCCCGTCTTACAGCTAGTAAATCATGTACTCTAAAAGCATCCTTACAGGAGCAGTTTCACCAACCAGGAGCTTCCCAGGGTGATAAGTGGATACGGGGCAATGTCTTACATCAGAAAGAACACGTCAAATAGCGTAACTTTTTCTTACTGTGTGGGCCCACCAGCTCCACCCCAGGCTGACCCATTTCTGTGTTAATCTCCTTTTCCTTCCCTTGTGTGGATGCACCAAGCCCACAGGCTACAGCAAGGGGAACCAAACATTTTGGAGAAGGCTGGTGACCTTCCTTGGCACACAGTAGGGTCATAGCCAGGTGAGGAGGTGGTTCTTCATGCAGATCTGGGCTTGCACATTACTGTGGTGTTGGGGTGTGAATGTGCACGGGGCGGGCACGTAGGTGCAAGCATTTCAAATGTTCCCATCCAGAAATTGAAAGCTTTCTTTTAGAGCAGAACAATATTTTTTCTGGTGTCTTTCCAGCTTCTGATGCTGGACGTTGTTTGACTGCAACTAGGGATCCTACGGTTTACATTAATAAGTGTACACCACCTTGCATTGGAGATTTCAAAACCTTTTACAAACATCAAAGAATTAACTTTTAACGTCCTTGTAAGATTGTTATGGGTGATTATCTCGTATTATACAGGAGGCACTTAAGCTCAGAGATCTGTCCATAGTCTCCTGGTGAAGCAGTGTTGAAGCTGGGAGAAGTACTCAGAAGACCCAGCTCATGTATCTTTGACACTCTTCCAGGTTTCTTCCTAGATTAGTTTTAACCATCAGAAATGTGTTTCATAATTCATTGAGGACCATGTAGTCTTTGCCCCTCAGCTCAACTTGAGAGGCAAGAATGGCAGGTCACCACAGAGGTGGAGTCGCTACAAAGGACTTTGATGAGGTTTCTCGTAGTCTCTGAACTCAGAGTGGAATTTGGCTGAGCAGCCTTGCTACATGGAAAGGACAGTCAGGAGCTTTTTGGATGCTCATCTGCCTTTCCCCCATGTGGCCTGGTGGTGCAGAGGGGGTAACACAGAGTCCAGTAGAGCATGGCACTGCTTGCAGGTAGGCTGTGGGAGGTCCTGATCCTAGCTGGTAGGCAGTGGTGGGCATGAGCTGGGGAAGGGGGTGCTAGTCCATGCACACACACATGGGGACTCTTAGGCACCTGGACCCTAAAACTATTTGTATGTGTGTAGGTGCTCCCTTTGATTGTGGGTTGATGAGCTGCTCTTTCCAGGATATTGTCTGGAAGAGTGGCCATAAACACAGAGAAGCTGGGCAGGTGCCCACATCTTGGCCAAGGGTTCAGGATTCCCAGGATTCCATCTCTTCTGCAGCTGCTTTGATCCCTACCACATCATCCTGACTGCTCTGGGTTTGCATGGGTGGAGTGGATCTTACCCACAAGGACTGTTTTTGTGTTTGGAAGCCTGTGATGACCAGATGTCTTTTAGCAGCAATGGATTTTCAAATTGGGAACATCAAAACACTATAGTTCTTTCAGGAAAAATGAGAAGATACAGTACTTATTAAAAGGTGTTTATTTAGGTCAGGGTTATCAGTGTGATAAAGAACACTAAAATGTATGCTAAAGAACGTCTGCATTCAAAGATTTATTTATGGAGCAAGCAGGATTGGACAGCAAGGCTTGTAGTCATATGATATTTTTTACCATTTGAGAGTATGCTTTGTAATGCTCAATGGTACTGGAGACTGATACTCCAAAACCCGAAATGAAATATGTAGCTCAGTTTGTGAAATACCATGTAGGTAATGAAATTTTTTCAATTACAGGAAGAAACACAGAAGAAGAAGAAGCTATGATGCAGGAATGGTTCATGCTGGTCAATAAGAAGAATGCCTTAATAAGACGAATGAACCAGCTTTCTCTTCTGTAAGTATGGATGGATGCGTGTGTTTACAAAAGCATGATTTACTGGAGTATTTACCCATCAGATAGTTGCAAAACTTACTTGTCCTCTTTCCATTAGACTTCAAAAATATTCCCTCAAAAGTGAGTAGCATGGATGGTTTGTGGAACACATTGAGTAACTTGTTTTTCTCATATTTCAGACCTGAAAATGAGAAGTGTGCGATGACGTGAGATTAGCTAAAGCTGTGGAAAAAAAATAATTAAAGAAATATTAAGCGTAGTTATATTTTCAAAGGCCCAACATTAGAATAAAATTACATTTTAAAAATGCACAAATAGATTTGGATTGTGCCTCAGACGTGACAGGCAAAGACTATTTGGAGAGGGAGGGCAGAGTTTGAGTCACTACCTGCTTTGCAGAAATCCTCCGTCCCATCCCCAGTTCAGCAGCACTGGACTGTGGAGGGGCTGTTAGTGAATCACAGGGTGATAATGCCACCGATACTGCAGAGTATGGGCAGGTCAACTTTTTTCTCTGGCACTGGCCAGGAAGGGAGAAGGCGCTGCTCATTTTCAGAGGCATTCTGCCCTCAGCGCTTCTTTTCCAGCCGCTTTGGGTTTGATGATATTTCTTTCAGTAATGCCACCTAGTGTAGATGGCTGCATACTTCCCTGGGAAGAGCCTGTGCTCACGAATTTCCTACCGTGTCTGAACTTGACAGAAGATTCTACCTTCGAAATATTAAGCTTTCTAATCCCGTGTCTAATTTTCATTATTCATTAGGGCCGAATGTATATAGGATAATACTTCCAGTGTCGTATTATCTTGGTGAATAGGCTGATGCTGGAATTTGTTCATTAGATCCTGGGGAATGTTTTATACTTAGGACATTCCACAACAGCCGCTCCAAGGATGAATATGAAATAATTACGTCCCATAGCACAATGGAGTTAAACTGATGGAATTAAAGCCGACATTCTAGAAAAATGAAAAGGCCTGGTGCTGAACATGCCACCTGAGCAAGGTTTTAAGTTTGTGTATCATTTGTTTGGAGTAGCTTAAAGTTAAAGAGAAAAGTCGGTTACGAGTCCTAAAATCAATGTAAATTAAAGGTTCTTTTAAGTGTTTAATGATTTAGTAATTAACATATTGATGAACTTTTGCAACTTGCCTAGGGAAAAAGAACATGACCTAGAAAGGCG